ATCATCATCATCATCCTGATATCATGGAGTGTGCCTCGTGGGCGGGGCCTGCGGCCTAGCGTCCTGTCCGAAGCCCCTCACTTTCCTGGCCCTCACCCACCTCGTCGCAGGTTCTGGATCCAGTGCCGGACGATGGCGTGGTGGTGGCGCTTGTTCTCCAGGCACCACGACGACAGGCCCTGGATGGACTCCATGGTGTTGGTCACGGCCTGCAGCTTCCTGTCCAGCGAGGCCTCCAGCGACGACGACGAGGCGGAGGAGGAGGAAGAAGGCGCCGCTGCTGCCGCCGAGGAGGAGGAGGAAGACGAGGACGAAGAGGACGACGACGAAGAGGAGGAGGAGGAGGCCTTGCCGCCACCGCCGGCCGCCATTTTGCCTCCCCTCATCGGTCGCACAAGCAACGCCGCTGAGGGGAGGGGAGAAGACGCGTCAGTGCGCAGGCGCGCTTTTGGACCCCTCACTGCGCAGGCGCGGGGGACGGTCCAATCCCTTTCTCGTACACGATTCCATCCCTGCGCAGGCGCATTGGCCTCACAAACTCCCAAGCGCTGAAGGGAAAAGTAGGCCCCGCCCCTTTTCTCAAGCCCCGCCCACTCTTCATCTTCCATCCCCGCGCAGGCGCACTGGCCTCCCAAGCGCTAAAGTTATTCCAAAGGGAAAAGTAGGCTCCGCCCCTTTTGCAAGCCCCGCCCACCCTTCGCTTCCATCCCCGCGCAGGCGCACTGGCCTCCCAAACTCCCAAGCGCTGAAGTTATTCCAAAGGGAAAAGAAGTAGCCCCCGCCCCCTTTCACAAGCTCCGCCCACCCGCCGCTTCCATCCCCGCGCAGGCGCACTGGCCTCCCAAACTCCCAAGCGCTGGTTATTCCAAGAGGAAAAGAAGTAGGCCACGCCCATTTTCTCAAGCCCCGCCCACCCTTCTCTTCCATCCCCGCGAAGGCGCACTGGCCTCCCAAACTCCCAAACGCTGAAGTTATGCTAACATTAAAAGAAGTAGGCCCCGCCCCTTTTCGCAAGCCCCGCCCACCTTCTCTTCCATCCCTGCGCACGTGCCCAAGCAGGCCAAAGGAAGGATTGCTCAGGATGACGAAGCAGCCAAAAGGTGGCGCTTTCCGGACCCTTATTGGTGGAACCTTGCCCGCCTACTTTCGGTGTAACCAATAGGAAAGCGGATTGAGAACGGCGCTCCTCCAATGAGGCTGCGAATAGAACGCGAGAATGAAAAGGACTCAACTCAAACGCAGGAGTGGGAAGAAACGAAACAACTGCGCATGCGCTGCTCACCAAACCCAGCTATGCTTTAGAGCATGCGCGGAGTAAGGACTCAAAAAAGGGGGACGCATCTGCGCATGCGCGAAACTCCAGGTTCCTATAGTATTGAGCCATGGCTCTTCAAAGCGGTGTCAAACCGCATCAATCTTCCAGTGTGGCTGAACCCAAACTTACAAAAACACGTGAAAAAGATCAGAGTGCACTTTTGAGGCTTCTTCAAGACTTTTTTCCCCCAATTGTACTAGTGTTTACTTCTCAATCTTTTGTTTTTAAAAGTAAACAATAGTAAAAATGTCTGTTTTTAAAGGATCTATGAATCCTAGAGTTGGAAGAGACCTTGTGGGTGATCTAGTCCAACCCTATTCTGCCAAGAAGCAGGGAAATCACATTCAAAGCACTCCCAACAGATAGCCATCCAGCCTCTGTTTAAAAGCTCCCAAAGAAGGAGCCTCCACCACACCCTGACGCAGAGAGTTCCACTGCTGAACAGCTCTCACAGTCAGGAAGTTCTTCCTCATGTTCAGGTGGAATCTCCTTTCCTGTCGTTTGAAGCCATTGCTCCATTGAGTCAAATTGTTGACACCTAAATAGAAAACTGGGCCCCATCTTCACTGCCATATAATCCTGTTTCAGGATGCAGATTGAACTGGATTATATGGAAGTTTCATATTATATTAAAAAACTCTAAAATTACAACAGCAAAACAACAGAGAGTAAACAATCAGGCACATCTAATCACCTCTCAACAAAAGATTCCCCCAGGCACTGCCAAGCCATCAAATGCTAATTAAGGTGGTCAGTTGAAACATTCATACCTAGCTCCAGCAGACAAGAGTCCTTTGTCCCACCCTGGTCATTCCACAGATATATAAAACCCATTTTCCTACTTCCAACAGACCTCACTACCTATGAGGATGCTTGCCATAGATGCAGGTGAAACGTCAGGAGAAAATGCCTCTAGAACATGGCCATATAACCCGGAAATACCTACAGCAACCCATGAAAGCCTTCGACAATATATGGAAGTATTTATGACGTTTATATCACACCCCGAAGGGCACTCGGAACAGCTTACAACTCATAGGTACATATAATATATTATATTATTAGAATAGCGCAATCTTAGTATTATATATTACTATATTGTACTATACCACTATACTGCAATATTATTAGTAATATAACATGTAACATAAAATATATAATCATATATTATATTATGATCAATATTATATGTACATACAATATATTATATTATTAGCATAGCACAATCTTAGTATTATATATTAATATATTGCGATATACCACTATACTGTAATATAAAATATATAATTATATTATTATATTGTATTACAATATTATGATCAATACTATATGTATACACAATATATTGTCAGCATAGCACAATCTTAGTATTATATATTACTATATTGCACCATGCCACTACACTGCAGTCTTATTAGTAATATTACATGTAATATAAAATATATCATTATTATATTATATTATTATATTACAATATAATGTAGTATATATTATCAGGAAAGCACAATCTTTGTATTATATATTGCTATATTGCACTATACCACTATACTACAATATTAGTAATATTACATGTAAAATAAAATATATTATTATATTATTATATTGTATTACAATATTATGATCAATATTATATGCACATACAATATATTGTCAGCATAGCACAATCTTAGTATTATGTATTACTATATTGCACCATACCACTACACTGCATTATTATTAGTAATATAAAATATATAAAATATATAATTATTATACTATTATATTGTATTACAATATTATGATCAATATTATATGTACATACAATATATTATATTAGCATAGCACAATATTAGTATTATATATTACACTATACCACTATACTGCAATATTATCAGTAATATTACATGTAATATAAAATATGTAATTGTTATATATTATTATATTGTATTAAAATATAATGATCAATATTATATGTACATACAATATATTATATTATTATTATAACCCTCACCTGCCTCATAGGAAACCTGCTACAAAACAGGAGCTTCTTTGTTGAGTTCCAGGGCCAGAGAAGCAGATGGCGGAAACAGAAGAACGGCCTGCCTCAGGGGAGCGTGCTTGCTCCATCCATGTTCAACATCTACACAAATGACCAGCCACTGCCAGAAGGGACAGAGAGCTTCATCTATGCTGATGATCGTGCCATCACTGCTCAAGCAGGGAGCTTTGAGATGGTTGAACAGAAGCTTTCCGAAGCTCTAGGTGCTCTTACTGCCTATTACAGGGAAAACCAGCTGATCCCCAACCCATCTAAAACACAGACATGTGCCTTTCATCTCAAGAACAGACAAGCATCCCGAGCTCTGAGATCACCTGGGAAGGAATCCCACTGGAGCATTGCAGCGCACCCAAATACCTGGGAGTCACTCTGGACCGTGCTCTGACCTACAAGAAGCACTGCCTGGATATCAAGCAAAAAGTGGGCGCTAGAAACAATATCATACGAAAGCTGACTGGCACAACCTGGGGATCACAACCAGACACAGTGAAGACATCTGCCCTTGCGCTATGCTACTCTGCTGCTGAGTATGCATGCCCAGTGTGGAACACATCTCACCACGCTAAAACAGTAGATGTGGCTCTTAATGAGACATGCCGCATTATCACGGGGTGTCTGCGCCCTACACCACTGGAGAAATTACACTGCTTAGCCGGTATTGCACCACCTGACATCCGCCGGGAAGTAGCAGCCAATAGTGAAAGGACCAAGGCAGAGACATCTCCAGCTCATCCCCTGTTTGGGTATCAGCCAGTACGTTAAACAACTTAAATCAAGAAATAGTTTTCTAAGATCTACAGAGACACTCGCTGGAACACCTCAGCAAGCGAGAGTCCAAAAGTGGCAGGCTCAAACCCAGAACCTCAACCAATGGCTGATACCAAATGAGAGACTCCCCTGGGCACACAGAAGACTGGGTGACTTGGAAGGCGCTGAACAGACTGCACTCTGGCACCACAAGATGCAGAGCCAACCTCAAGAAATGGGGCCACAAAGTGGAATCCTCGGCATGCGAGTGTGGAGAAGAGCAAACCACTGACCACCTGCTGCAATGCAACCTGAGCCCTGCCACATGCACAATGGAGGACCTCTTGCAGCAACACCAGAGGCACTCCAAGTGGCCAGATACTGGTCAAAGGACATTTAATCAACTACCAAGCTTGCAAACTCTGTTTTGTCTGTTTGTTAAAAAATTGTTAAAATGTAATACAATTGCCTGGTTGCTACTGACACAATAAACAAACAGCATAGCACAATATTCATATTATATATTACTATATTGTGCTAAACCACTATACTGCAGTATTATTAATAATAATGTAACCTGTAATATAAAATATATAACTATTATATTGTATTACAATATTATGATCCATATTATATGTACATACAATATATTATAATTGTTAGTGTAGTCTCATCTCATCCAGTCCAATCTACACTGCATATAGATGGGGGAGACCTTCAGGATGCTGGGATCTGTAGTCCAAAAAAAAAAAAAACGTACCCAGAAGCCCTCCCCTTTAGTTTCTGACATTGCTATAGTATACGTTCTCAGTCTCCTTAATGCCAAGGAAGAAGCAGGTTTTTTTTTCCCAAGAAAAGACAGCCACATGGTTTACTTTTTAAAATCTTTTTACCCAAAAAAACAACAACAACCCCAAAGTTTATTGTGTAATGATAGGATATGGGCTAAATCCCCAGTTCCTACTCTTTGCATTGAAAGATGACATTCCAAGAACTGCCCCAGAGCACTTAACTGTCCAACAAAGCTACTGGAAAAGGAAAAAAAAGGAATGGGGGGAAAAGCAAATATAGGATCTGCATATCTTCAAAAATAGGTTCAGGAAGAAGAGATGACCAATTGATTCTCGTTGGCTGTTTCCTCCAACAACAAAGCCCTACTTCCAATGGGATTCCTTTTTAAAAAATATTTCTTTTTAACGAGGAACTCAAGAAGGAAGCGTGGAAAGAGGAAGAACGCGGTGGGATGAACTCTAAGTCCCATGTTTCAGCTGAGTTCCCGAGGCTCGAAAGCAAAGGAGCTGAAAAGGTGGAAGGTCGGTGTCAAGGGCCCCCTTTTAGTCCGTGGATTCCAGCACCGACTCGCTGAGCGCCAGGTCCCAGTAGTGCTCGGCCCCGTGTTTCTTAAAGTGCTCCCGTGCCATGTTTTCGGTGGGGCACTGCTTGAACTTCATCTCCCCAAAGCTGCGCTCCTTGGCTGTGCCCTGGGGAAAAAGGACAGAGAATGGGGTGTTAATGGGAAACGGAATGCTTTCATGGGTGTTTACCTGAAGATCAGTTCAGGCAACACTGCGTTAGAGTGAGAATCTAAGCCTGAGCTCTCTTGTTCTTGGTTCAAGCCAAGCCTTGGTTTTGGATTTTAATATCCTGGAAGTTTTCTATGTTCCTGTTCAAGTTTTTACTAGTTATACCTTCTTGCTTGTGGATTTATGTTATACCCGTGATTTCTAGCCATAAACTTTGTCACCTCTGGAACTTTATGAGGAGTGGCTTAGGGAGATGCAGATGTTTAGTTTGGAGAAAAAAGGGCTGAAAGAAGGGGACATGGAAGCCATCTTGAAATATTTGAGAGGGTGCCGCATTGATATCCAACTCACCTCCCAAACCAGAGAACATTTATTTGTCTTCTTTACGGCTTCCTCGTCAGACTCCTCGTCATCTAAAGAAAGAATACATTACAAGTGTGAGATTGTGGAGTTGACAATTCATGATTTAACATGCTAATTTTTATTGATTCATAAAAAATATTTTATACAAATCGCAACAAAACATACAATAAATCTGTTAATGATTTATTGTTGTTTACTAACAATCATTGATTTATTATTTAACTGATGTTTACTAACATTCACACAAACATACAATAAATCCATTAGTGATTTATTGTTGTTTACTAACAATCATTGATTTATTATTTAACTGATGTTTACTAACATTCACACAAACATACAATAAATCCATTAGTGATTTATTGTTGTTTACTAACAATAAATCATTAACTGATTTATTATTTAACTGATGTTTACTAACATTCACACAAACATACAATCAGTTAATGATTTATTGTTGCTTACTAACAATACATCATTAACTGATTTATTATTTAACTGATGTTTACTAACATTCACACAAACATACAATCAATCAGTTAATGATTTTAAATATTTATTATTATTATTATTATTATTATTATATTTATTAATAATTTTATTTTTATTATTATTGTTGTTGTTTGTTATTCTCCTGTTTTTGAATGTTGTTCTTTACTGGTAGCCAGAGTAGAGTATTAAAAAATCTCAGACAGGAAGAAGACAGGCTTTGAAGCTTCAAGGCTATTCAATGATAATCAAGGTGGCCAGTGGCACCATTCCCACTTGCCTTAAACAGACAAGAGTTCTTTCTCTGGGCATCATTCCACAAATATATCAACCCCACTTGCCTCGTTTCCAACAGACCTCACAACCTCTGAGGATGCCTGACATACATGCCCAGCTCTTTAAGCCGCTCCTCATAGGGCTTGTTCTCCAGTCCCTTACGGATTTCGACACCATCTCCTTACCATCTCCTTTTGTCGCTGACGTCTGTTCGTCCCACTTGATCCGATGCAGCATGAGCCGTTTGAACTTCTTCTGCGCCTTAGGGCCTGCGAGAGAGCACAAAAAGAGGGGTTTTGCATCTCGGCCCCAGAAGTGAGACCTATAAAGCCTCAGGCCAAGCCCCGCCATCTCACCTCCTTCCACCACCACCACGTTGACGTCTTTGTGCAATACCACAACCCCGGTGAAGTAGAGCTGGCCAGCGTTGGCTTCGATTTTGAATTTCTTGGCTGGGTTGCTGAGGTTTCGGACTCTGCAGCGAAGAGGAAGAGAGTGAGAAAGGCATTACAGCGGAGAGCAAACATTTGCAGAAAAGAGGGCACGGACGTCAGGGTTGTGGAGTCAGAATCACTCTTGAGAGTTGGCAGAAATGCACATATCCACCCAACTGTAATACTAATAATAGTAGCAGCAGTAGTAATATGGTACAACATGTCTTGTGTTCACTGTATTTTGATCTTTCAGGTGTCAAACAGGGATGTGTTTTTGCCCCAACCTTATTTTCCATCTTCATTGCTGTAATACTTCATCTTGTTGATGGGAAGCTTCCCACCAGAGTGGAAATCATCTATCGGACAGATGGTAAGCTATTTAACTTCAGCAGACTGAAAGCCAAAACCAAGGTCACAACAACATCTGTTGTAGAACTCCAATATGCTGATGATAATGTAGTCTGTGCACATTCAGAAGATCTACAAGCCACTCTAAATACCTTTGCAGAAGCATATGAGAAGCTCGGCCTCTCATTGAATATTAAAAAAACCAAAGTGATCTTTAATAATTACAATTATTATTATTTTGTATTATTATAATTGCTGTGTTAACAATATAATATAATATAATATAATATAATATAATATGATAATATATTGTATATACATATAATATTGAAAATATTATAATGTAATACAATGTAATAATACGATAAGTAAAGTAAAGGTCAAAGTTTTCCCCGGACATTAAGTCCAGTCGTGTCTGACTCTGGGGTATGGTACTCATCTCCAATTCTTAAGCTGAAGAGCTGGCATTGTCCATAGACACCTCCAAGGTAATATGGCCAGCAAGACTGCATGCAAACGCTGTTATCTTCCCACTATTGATCTACTCACATTTGCATGTTTTCGAACTGCTAGGTTGGCTGAAGCTGGGGCTGACAGCGGAAGCTCACACCCCTCCCCGGATTCGAACCTACAACCTTTCGGTCGGTCAACAAGCTCAGCAGCTCAGCACTTTAACCCACTGCACCACCGGGGGCTCCAAATATGATAGTATAATTATATATTTTATATTATATGTAATATTACTAATAATATTACAGTATAATGGTATAGAGCTCTGCGAGTGCAGCATTTTTCTGAATGAGTGTTGGGGGACCAAGACATCCGTAGGGAGACCAAGGGGCTTGTTTATAAAGCTATTGTCCTCCCAACCCTGCTATATGCCTGCGAAACATGGACTGTCTACAGACATCAACATTGACACTGAAATACAACACTGCCTGAGCTCTGCGAGTGCAGCATTTTTCCGAATGAAGCAGAGAGTGTTTGAGGACCGGGACATCCGTAGGGAGACCAAGGTGCTTGTTTATAAAGCTATTGTCCTCCCAACCCTGCTCTATGCCTGTGAGACGTGGACTGTCTACAGACGTCACATGCAACTCCTGGAACGATTCCATCAGCGCCGCCTCCGGAAAATCCTGCAAATCTCTTGGGAAGACAAGCGGACAAACGTCAGCGTGCTGGAAGAAGCAAAGACCACCAGCATTGAAGCGATGGTCCTCCGCCATCAACTCCGCTGGACCGGCCACGTTGTCCGGATGCCCGACCACCGTCTCCCAAAGTGGTTGCTCTGCTCCGAACTCAAGAACGGAAAATGGAATGTTAGAGGAAAAGAGATTTAAAGATGGGCTCAAAGCCAACCTTAAAACTCTGGCATAGACACTGAGAACTGGGAAGCCCAGGCCCTTGAGCGCTCCAGCTGGAGGTCAGCTGTGACCAGCAGTGCTGTAGAATTTGAAGAGGCACGAATGGAGGGCGAAAGAGAGAAACGTGCCAAGAGGAAGGCATGTCAAGCCAACCCCAACCAGGACCGCCTTCCACCTGGAAACCATGCCCTCACTTCAGGAGAAGATCAAGAACAGGGCTCCACAGTCACCTACGGACCTACCACCAGGAGACTACACTTGGAGGACTATCATCCTCGGACTACGAGGGATCGCCTAAGTAAGTAAGTACAATATAGTAGTGTATAATACTAATATTGTGCTATGCTAATTTTTTTTGTCATATCAGGAGCGATTTGAGAAACTGCGTCGCTTCTGGTGTGAGAGAATTGGCTGTCTGCAAGGACATTGCCCAGGGGACGCCCAGATGATTTTGATGTTTTATCATCCTTGTGGGAGGCTTCTCTCATGTCCCTGCATGGGGAGCTGGAGCTGACAGAGGGAGCTCATCCACACTCTCCATACAATATAATACTACTAATAATAATACAATATTATAATTATATATATATATATATATATATATATATATATATATAATATTACATGTCATATTACTAATATTACAATTACACGAGGAGCTGGAGCTGATAGAGGGAGCTCATCCGCCTCTCCCTGGATTTGAAGCTGTGACCTGTCGGTCTTCAGTCCTGCCGGCACAGGGGTTGAACCCACTGATAATTCACAGGATGGGAGTGAACTGTTTTGTGTAACAATTTCATTACAGTAATGATGTTATTCCTAGCCACAGGTTCGCTTCCCGGATCAGCTGCGGATATGACAAAATGATCAGGCCTGGTCTGATTAAACGGTAGCAATGTGAACTCACACACTTCACATCAGAGCCATTAGCGGATATGGAGCCAGACAATCCCTAATAGCTGGAAATGGCAGATCCGGAGAGTCCACTATGTTTTCAATTTATGCAGGTAGGAAAAAAGAGAGGCGTCGGAGGCGTCCTGATTCCACCTCCCTGGTTCAGATGCCCCTGGCTTTGAGGATAGGGGGGGAGCCACTCACCTATACACTGCTATATGAACCCCCTGGGAAATATCTTCTTTAAGCTTTTTCACCTTTTTCGCTTTCCTCTGTTCCACTGTGAGCTTCCGGGCGGCATTGGCTTCTTCGTGAGCTCTGAGGGAGACAAGCGACACGCGTGTAAGGAACTGCAGGCTTTACTTTGCATTTGCCTTTGTTTATTTGTTTATTTACAGTATTTATATTCCACCCTTCTCACCCCGCAGGGGTCTCAGGGCGGATCACAATGTACATATATATGGCAAACATTCAATGACATAGACACACAACATACAATAATACAATATGATATATTATATCTTCATATAATATTTATAATATTATAATGTAATTCAATATAATACTATTAATAATAATATATCGTAATTATATATTTATATTACATGTAATATTGCTAATAATGTTACAATATAGTTATAATATTGTATTATTATTATAATATTGTATTACATTATAATATTATAAATATTATATGTATATACAATTTATTATATTATATTATATTATATTATAGGGAAAACTGGGGGAGAGGATACGAGGAAGGAACGTAGCGAGAGGCGAGGAGAGGATGTGAGGGAGATGGAGAGGAGGAGATGAGAGGGATATCGAGAGCTGAGAGGAGAGAGGAGAGAGGAGAGCTCTAAAAGGAAGAGGATAGGAGGAGAGATGATAGTATAGGGAGAGGAGACGTAGAGGAGAGTTTATGAGATGGGGATGTTATATTATATATATAGTATATTATATTATATTATATTATATTATATTATATTATATTATATTATATTATATTATATTATATTGGCTGTCCCCTGCCACACGTTGCTGTGGCCCAGTCTGTGTATAGATGTTTTGTTTGGGTATATGTGTGTGTATACGTGTATTTGTGTTTACATATGTGGTTTTGCGCATGCATTGTAATGTATTTTTTGGTTTTTGGCTTTTAAAGTCCCTTCTGCTGTGTTTTTCAGTGTTTTTATGAGTGATGGTCACTCGTTGGCCTGATAGGTGTTTTGTGTCCAAATTTGGTGTCAATTCATCCAGTGGTTTTTGAGTTATGTTAATCCCACAAACGAACATTACATTTTTATTTATATAGACTAGCTGTCCCCTGCCACGCGTTGCTGTGGCCCACATGGGGGTTCTGTGTGGGAGGTTTGGCCCAATTCTATCGGTGGGGTTCAGAATGCTCTGTGATTGTAGGTGAACTATAAATCCCAGAAAGTACAACTCCCAAATGTCAAGATTCTATTTTCCCCAAACTCCATCAGTGTTCACATTTGGGCATATTGAGTATTTGTCAAGTTTGCTCCAGATACATCATTGTTTGAGTCCACAGTGCTCTCTGGATGTAGGTGAACTACAACT